AATTATTTCAAAAGCATGTGAGGTTTATAATTCCTAACCTGAGAAGAGTAGTAATGTGAGTGATCAGAGTTGACAATTTTAACTTGAGTAGATAAATAATCAAAGGAAGGACTATGAGCTTGCTGATGATTAACAATTAGTTGAAATCTGAAGTTCTAAACTTAAGAAAGAGTAAGTTTCAAATGTAGGGCCATTGTTACACATTTCTTATATTTAAAACACAGGATGCTTAATCTTGAAGATGAAATTTCTTAAGAACTTTGCTTTTTTACCATCCTATTTTAATATATTAATGATGTTATCCTAAGGGCTGTCAAGTGTGGTTCTAAACCCCAAGGGGAGAACTATGGAAGAGCTCCATGGGCTTGTGAGTACAGAGTCGTATTCTGTTCATGCCGAAACCTTAAATTTGAAATGCTGACTTATGATGGAAGGACAAACATACCTTCTTAAGCAGCAGCTGCAAAAACAGAAATCAATTCTGCTGTTCAGTCCTTTAAACATTTAGCAAATGGCCCAGAGTTGCCCAAGTGGAAATCCTTATAGGAATATAGCTTCTTTTTTCTTTCCCTTTTAACTTGTATGAAAATCAGATATGTATATGTAGGTGAGGCTGCCTCTAAATCTTTCAGCACAATATGATTATCAATTACTTTTTATTGAGTAGGCTCATATGAGTTTTTTATTGAAGGCTCATATGAGTTCTACACCATATACATTGTGAACAATCTGTACTTTCAATTTCCCTCTGGAGTAAGGCAGGAAAAAATCCTAGAGCACAGAAGCCATCAAATGCATCTACAACAGAGGCGTAACGTGGACCTCACAGCTACCTATGGCTATGGCCTAATTCACTTTTCTATAATGAAAGGACAGGAATATGGCCAATTCTTCTCTTTCTGATATAAATGAGCTGGCCAGGATTTTGCGGCTGCCTCCACAGAGGACACATCAATAGTGTATTGATTCACATTTTCTTTCATTTGAATATGTACCTGCAACACCATTGATCTTAACTTCCAAAGATATTTATGAGGTTTTGGTAAGTATAGTCTTATAACAAGGCCTCTTAGAAATCTTTAAGTCAATGCATTTGATAATTCTCAATTAAGTGTGTGATTTTAGCTAAAACTAGAAACTAAACCATCTTTAAAATAGCAAGAGACGATAAATATTTTTGAATGAATAAATGGGAGGATGAATGACTGTATTTATCGTGTATTCCTGTATTATTTCTGCTCACCCAGCTCCCTTTGATTGTAATTTGATTTGTCTATTGACCTGTCTCTAGGAAGAGAATGATGCCTGGGGTGGTGACACAGCTATACGGCATTACATTTATATTCCCCAGAAGAATTTAAAAGTTGACACTATGGTTTTATTTAAAGATACTATTGTGAATGCTTCCCTTAGAGCCTCGTGTAGCGCCTGAAACTGAGCAGACACCTCATATGTACGTCCAATGAATGGCCCCTGACTCAGCCTAGTTGCTGTTCTACTTAGAACATCAAAGAACACACTCGCATTTTTCAGCCTCCTAAAAATAATAAGCAAAATAAATTTAAAATGTAGTGGGTGGCTTATCAAATAGGAGATACAGCAGGTAGGGGTATGGTTACTCTGCCCTCTTTTTTCATTCTAAATATATGTATTCCATCATACACTTTGATGCTATTTCCAGTGCAGGTTCAGGGTGTTGGCTCAGAATAAATGACATGGCATAAAGTTATCCCTAACAATTTTTGCACAGGTGAAAAAGGGTTAAATGCACAATAGGGACAAGCTTTAAAGAAGCAGTAAAGGAAAAGATGGCATAAAAGAGGCATGGAGGGGAAGATGGCCATTGTTACCAAATAGCCCTTGCCACTTGCCTAATGGGGAAGGGAGGACACAGGATACGCAGATGGACTGCTTTGGTCTTTTTTTTTTTTTTTTTTTGCAGTTTTTGGCCAGGGCTGGGTTTGAACCCACCACCTCTGGTAAATGGGGCCGGTGCCCTACTCCTTTGAGCCATAGGCGCCGCCCTGTTTGGTCTTTTGCAGTTCAACCCGTCTGGCTGCACCTCTTTTCTGTCCCACATAATGAACTCCCTCAGGCTCAGTCCACTTGCACCTGGTTCTTGCAGCAGCATGACCCAGTAATGCCGGAAGTTTGAATCAATCATATTTATTTGCATTATGTCAAAGAGACTGGTCTTGGGTAATTATTAAAATACAATAGAATGTTTTACACAGAGCCATGGAAGTTCAGCTACTGCTGTGTTCTTTGTACATACTAAAGATAACCTGTTTTAGCAGGTGGAATAGAGGCCTGAACCCTTCCTGTTCTCATCAGGATCACATGACTGGAAAAGATGCTCTAGGAAACAAAAGGAGAGCAGTTGCAGGAAACGCCAGATAAAGCAAGACTTTTTAAGGCAGAAAAGAAAGGTGACAAGACTCATCACCTTTGTCTCGATTACTCAGCCTGGGACCCCCTAAGTAGGTCTGCCCTTCTAACTCCAGCTCACTTCTAAGGGGCAGAAGCAACATTAAAGCCCACAAACACTGACTGATACCAGTGAGGTCAGAAGAGAATCTAGGACTCCCTTCCCCTGCTACCTGAATTGTGATGAGAATCAACATAACGTTGCCTTCAAAAACGATCATGCTCTAAAAGAATATGACCTTACCCAATCAGCCACAAGACGTTCATCTTCTCAAAATAACCAAATAACCGCAACACTTACAACAGAAACATACGTTTAATATAAGGCAGGTAATATTTTTTTAAAAGAGGATAATAATCGGGTGGCACCTGTGGCTCAAAGGAGTAGGGCACTGGCCCCATATACTGGGAGGTGGTGGGTTCAAACCCAGCCCCAGTCAAAAACTGCAAAAAAAAAAAAGAAAAAAAAGGATAACAGTCATTAGTGGGAATTCCATAGTCTTTAACAGTTAAAATTCAGCCAAAATAATCTAACCAGATAGCTATGCAGTTAGGCTGTTCTATTAAAAAATAAATAAAGGCATAGATATTTTAGATGTTATGATATTCTGCATTTTTAATCCCCTTTACAATACTTTCCACGCTGTTCTGTAATGTGTCTATTTACTGGTCGGTGTTCCTCACTAGGCTGTAAGGTCCCTGAAGAAGGAACTTAGTCTACTCTCTTTTGTATTAGAAGTCAGCATGGTGGTGCCCGGCACACAGCTGGCCATCAAAACTCTGTAGAATGAATGCTTTCACAAGTAGTAAATAGATCAAGGCTTATACTCAATTTCATAGTCTACATATTGTTAATAGAAAGATTGGAGAAGAGGGTGGCGCCTGTGGCTCAAAGGAGTAGGGCGCCAGCCCCATATACTGGAGGTGGCGGGATCAAACCCAGCCCCGGCCAAAAACTGCAAAAAAAAGAAAAGAAAAGAAATGTTGGAGAAGAAAGTTGGATGTAGGTACCCAGAAAGCATTATGGAAAAGAAGGTTCTGATCTTAGATGTTCTGAGTCAGGACTGCACAAGATTATTTGGCTAAGAGTACAAATTGGGGCACAAAATCCAGCCTGTGGTCTTCTTACCAAGCCATGAAGTCCAACACCACTCTGAATCTGCCTAGGAAGCAAAGTCTTTTTTCAAATTTCTACAAAGGTGTTGTACAAACTTGAGATGGTCCTAATTTAAATAATGATTAAACCTTATCTCTGAGAGGTTAGAACTTAGGAGCAAGAAAAATTGCCTTACCAATCTGATTCCACCACAAAGAGAGAAAAGAAACAGCAAAGACTACTCTGAAACTGAGAACACTGAGCTTGGACATTGTTTTTCTCTGGATTCTCAATATTGGAAGACGAGCTTATAAAACCAAAATTACTTTTTTTTTTTTTTTTGAGACAGAGCCTCAAGCTATCCCCCTGGGTAGAGTGCTGTGGCTTCACAGCTCACAGCAACCTCCAACTCCTGGGCTCAAGCGAGTCTCCTGCCTCAGCCTCGCGAGTAGCTGGGACCACAGGTGCCCGCCACAACGCCCGGCTAGTTTTTGGTTGCAGCCGTCATTGTTGTTTGGCGGGTCCGGGCTGGATTCGAACCCGCCACCTTAAGTGTAAGTGTATGTGGCTGGCGCCTTAGCCACTTGAGCCACAGGCGCTGAGCCAACAAAAACTACTTTTAAAAACCACGTAAGGAAGCCTCAGTATTCAACTTGATCCCAGAAAGTGAATTATAGAATCAGAGATGCATAAAAAACTGGAGGAAACCTTACAGATTGCAGAACTCCATTGCTAGAAGGAACTTTAATCTGGTTCAACAGTCTTAATTTTACAGATGAAGAAACAAAAAGATCAGGGAGACTTACCTACGTTTAGTAAAGCTAAGTCCAAAACCTAGTTGTTTTCTGGCTTTCAATCTAATCATCTTTCTACCACAGCTGCTGAGATTTACCATCATGATCAACAAACATGGCTCAGCAACTGCACGCAACCGTGTGGGATGGAAAAGTGTCGCGAAAGACAAGCAATACTCTGAAATGTTAAGTGGAGGTTTAGCCTCGCGTTTCCCAGTGGTAGTGACGCCAGGTGAGTAGCAGGTGTGGGTGGCGTGCCCTCGCGTGGGCGACAATTCTGGAGGGACCAGAAACAGGTGGCGGAACGCAGGCGGAACTAAGGTCAAAAAAGCAACGTCGGGATACTTCAACGCTCAGAGGCCTTCTCGAAGTGTACGTTGAGCCTCTGGGCTTAGGGCTCAATTCCGAAGAATGAGCGAGGTAAAGCCTCCCCAAAACCGGGCTCCGAAACCCTGAGGGTGCCGGGCTGAGGCCGCTGGGCAGGAACGCGACCGCGGCGGCAGATGGGAACCGGGGAAACCCGGGGTGCCGCCCAACCCGGGCAATCTCGCCCTCGGCTTCCGGGGCGGGGCGCGCGGCCCGCGGGGCGGGGCCGGGAGCAGGCACCGCCCACGTCGGGCTGCGTGACAATGGGGCGGGCCGCGGGCCCTGCTGCCGGCTTCGGAGCCGCCGCATCCCGGGTCGGGATTTGAAAGATTAAAAACTCGGGGCGGAGAGAGCGGCGGCGTTGAATGTGTGGCAGAAGCGCTGGGGGTCGCGGCTTCTCCGCACCATGAATTACCCGGGCCGCGGGTCCCCGCGGAGCCCGGAGCGTAACGCCCGGGGCGGCGGCGCCTGGGAGCTGGGCTCTGATGCAGGGCCGGCGTTCGGCGGCGGCGTCTGCTGCTTCGAGCACCTGCCCGGCGGGGACCCGGGCGACGGCGACGTGCAGCTGGCACTGCTGCGCGGGGAGCCGGGGCTGCACTTGGCTCCGGGCACCGAGGACCACGACCCCCGCCTGGCGCTGGACTCCTGCCTCAGTGACGAGAACTATGACTTCAGCTCTGCCGAGTCGGGCTCCTCGCTGCGCTACTATAGCGAGGGTGAGAGCGGCGGTGGAGGGAGTTCCTTGTCGTTGCACCCGCCACAGCAGCCGCCTCTGGTCGCGACAAACTCCGGGGGTGGCGGGGCGGCCGGAGGGGGCCCCGGGGAGAGGAAGCGGCCCCGGCCGGGCGGCCCGGCCGCCCGCCACCGTTACGAGGTGGTGACGGAGCTGGGACCGGAGGAGGTGCGGTGGTTCTACAAGGAGGACAAGAAGACCTGGAAGCCCTTCATCGGCTACGACTCGCTCCGCATCGAGCTCGCCTTCCGGACACTGCTGCAGGCTACGGGGGCCCGGCCCCAGGCCAAGATCCAGGACGACGAGCATGAGTGCGGCACGGCCTCCCCCGCGGGCCCGGCCTCCAGCTCCGGGGAGGAGGACGACGAGGACCGAGCCTGCGGTTTCTGCCCGCGCACGGCGGGGCACGAGCCCGAAATGGTGGAGCTGGTGAATATCGAGCCCGTGTGCGTGCGGGGCGGCCTCTACGAGGTGGATGTGACCCAGGGAGAGTGCTACCCTGTGTACTGGAACCGTGAGTAGCAAGGCCGGGGTTTGAGTGGGACGGGCTGCCCCTGCGAGGGCTGGCACCCCCTGGGGTGGGGAGTGGGTTTGCGACCTGGCCACCCCCGAGAGGGAGGCGCGGGAGGCCTGGCGTTCGGCGGAGGCAGGACGGGGATTGTGCCGGGAACGCTGGCCAGTGAAGGGTAAACGAGCAGATGGCGAAGCCCAGGCTGCTTGGGGTCAGGCGGAGTGGATGCCGCCGGGGGTAGTGCCTCCCAGTGAGCCGGTGCTGCCGCTGTCCCCCGGGGCTGATCCAGGAGCGGATCCCCAGCCTGAAAGGTTAAATTTCGTGATTCCACCAAGTTTTGTCCACCTGGGGACCTGATTCATTCTCATTTACCCTGCACTGCCCGTAATTTAGATAACAGCGCGTCCCCTGGAGTCGTGAGGTTTGAGAGCATCTGCCTGAGAATCAACAGTTCAGTGATGGGCTCAGGAAAAAAAAATTAATCCCCGGCGGGAAGGGAAAGGAGCTGGGTTATTCCCACTGGGCGTGCTCGAGAGGGTGGAAAGCACCACAGAGGTGGTTCTGGCAAGTGGGTCCGCATGCACGCCATGGTGCACATATTTTTAGGTTTGCCTCTTCATCTTAAAAAATTACCGTTCCTATTTCTCATTTTTATAACGGGGATAATTGTACTTCTCTCCTGGGGTTGCTGTGGAAGTAAATGAGCAAATACACCTGCAGGGCTTGGAACTATGGTTGGGCACTTATGTGTGATTTGAGTGTTAATATTTATTAGACAACCTCACAATTAGGTTCATAATTAAAATAGAGTAAGGAGGAGGCGATCAGAAATATCTCCCATTACATGCAGTAAATATTACCTATGAAATATGTAGTAGATATTCTACAGTAACCGAACTGTTGGCCACCAAGAGTTTTGTAATATCAGTTTAATTTTCCTGGGCCCGGCGTCTTCACTGATTGCCACTACCCCTGGGTTCTCCATACATCTTCTAGCACTCTGCCTTGTGTTAATTGTAGGTATTAATGAGTTAGCTTCCTTTCTGTCTGTTTAGGAGCTTATGGGCAGAGTCCATCACTTTATCTCGGTGCTGCGTTAGGGCCTAGTGCAGTAGATACTCAATAGTAGGTGTTGAATTGCATCAGTGACTCTGATAATGTGAAAAGAGTCATGCCTTAAGCATGACTTATTAAGATAGCAATCCCAGTGTGTGTCAAATCACCAAGCAAAATAAGCATAGCAGGAAATGTAATTTCTTACTGCACTTTAAGATGACACTAAAAGCATTTGTTATCATTTTTATAAGGTCAGATTCAGGTGGTATGTGTTAAATCACTGCTTTTGATTACAAACTCACTAAGAACGGTAATGTTTGGATTACTCATTTCTTTCATACTGCACAGTAAATTTGCACAGTTGTCTTGTGAAGCTTGAGAAATGGGGAAGAGGAGGAAAATTCTTACCTTTCAGGAGCTTCCCAGTTAGTTTATTCTTCAGATGACTTAAGTATCACTGTAGTTTATTGGTCATTTATTTTACTGAGACTAGAAACACAAAGATTTACTGAAGCCAGGAAGTTGGATAAAACTGCAGGGTGAGGAGCCTGGGAGCCAAGAGATGACTCTTACCTTAGATGAAACTGAAATGTGTTTGCCTAGAATACTGTGTGCTCTTTTGGCTTATGATAAAAATCGCTAATGCTTACATGGTGCTTTACTGTTTACAAAGTGATTTTGAAATCCATTGTTAAAATTGCAAATAATTGCTAACCTGCCTGTGAAGAAATGGGCTCAGTTCAGAAATTAATGAATTTGTCGAAGGTCACTCAGCAAGTGATTAAAGCAGTGTATTGGTCTAGTGGAGGAATCCAGTGCCATGTCCAAATAGTTTCTCACCCATTCAAGAGTGAGGGTGTCTGGAAAGCTTCCCAGGAGATACAAGACTTAAGTCCTAAAGGCTGGATTTCATATGGCAGAGGAAGTAAGGACACAGAGGAAAAGACATTCCAGCCAGGAGTAGCATATTCAAGGACACAGGCATGAAGCTTCGTGGCATTTGGAGGACGTGCGGCCTGCACCCACAGGCACCAAGACACACGGAGTAGGTTCGGGTCGCTGCCACAGAGAGGGTGGTACGCGAAAGCTGGGGTTTGGTCAGGGGCAGGATGGAATTGTGAAGGGAGCGCCTGCCCGTGAACAGTACACTTGGGAGAACAGCCGTGAAGGAAACAGGGTGGGCATGTGGTGCTGAGGAGCTGGGAAGCAAACAGTTGAAGGTTCTCTTTTACTCAGGTGTGGTTAGTGACAGTGCACAGGTTGAACTGGAGGGTGAGAAACAGACTCATTAGAATGCTGCTGTCATAAATTGAGACTCAGTAAGGGCCTGCAAAAGTAAACTCAGATGTAATGTGAAGATGCTCTTCTTAGCCATTAGGCATCACAGCTGGTAAGTTAATTTTTTTTAACTAGCCTAAGAGCAATACCTGTTTTTAATCTCTGTTTGGCATTTTCTGAAGTACCATAAAACAGTGTTTCTTGTGGCATCCTGTAATTTACCATTTCTCAGAGAATCTCATATCACTGTGTTGTAATTGGTTGGTTGGTTGTTTTATTTCAGATTAATTTGAGGGTACAAACCATTAGGTTATATTCTTTACACGCGAAAGGTTAAAGTCAGAGTTGTGGCTGTGTCCTACGTCTGGGGAGTGTGGCATGTATCCTGCATTGTACCCTCTGGGTGGGAAGCTACTGAACTCCCTCCCACTCTCCCCCAATCTTGAATTTAATTGAGATTTTCTCTTGTGGATCTGTAATTGTTAATCTCCTATTTTCAAATCGCTTCTGACTATATCTGATGCTTGTTTTTCCAATCCTGAGATACTTAGGATAATGTTCTCCACATCTATCCAGGTTGTCACAAAAGATGCAAAATCTCCATATTTTTATAGCTGAATACATACCACAGTTTATTCACCCACTCATGTGCTCATGGGCACTTGGCTTGTTTCCACATCTTTGCAGTTGTGAACTGAGCTGCTATGAACATTCAAGTGGTAAGATGCCTTTTTCAATTTGGGTAAATTCCTAGTAGTGCAATTGCAGAGAAAATGGAAGGTCTACTTCTAGTTCTTTGCAGACTCTCCATGCTGCTCTCCACACAGGCTGTACTAGTTTGCAGTCCCACCAACAGTGCGGGAATGTGCCCTTCTCTCGGCACCCACGCCAGCATCTGCGGGTTTGGGACCTTGTGATATGGGTCGTTCTCACTGGGGCTAGGTGGTATCTCAGAGTGGTTTGTTTTTGTATTTCTCTGATAATTAGGGGTGATGAGCATTTTCTCATGTGTTTATTGGCCATTCCTTTGTCCTTGTGAAAAGAGTTTCTATTCATGCCTCTTGCCCAGTTTTTAATGGGGTTGTTTGTTGTGTTCTTGTTGGTAGGCTTGAGTTCCCTGTAGATTCTGGCGATTAGCCCTTTGTTGGATTGCAGCATGCCCTGGCATTTTGAAGGCTGCCTTTTTGCTTTGTGGATTGTGTCCCTAGCTGTCTAATTGGTTCTTTAAGTCTCTGTGTATTATAGAAGTTTTCATCCTCTCTCGACCTCGTATGGTTTCTTCAGCATTTTTCCAAATGGAAACAACTCACACAAGACAGTGTAGCTTTTGACCTTCCCCCCCATTTTAACTTTTCCTTTTAAACCTTTTTAGAAACTGTCTGCATATTGGTAATGAACGTTTAAAAAAAGAAAATCCAGGTTCCTCCGTGGCATGGTGGTAGGATTCCATTGGCCTTTTGGATTTTGTTTCCTTATTTAGCTCACATCTGAGTGTCAAGGGCAGCAAGTTAGCTATACCTAATTTAAAAGAAATACATTATTATACTCTTCCTTTTGAACTTTACTGGCAGATAAAATTGAACCAGTTTGGGATATCTGAATTAGAAAGGGAACAGAATTGGTCTTATATAGCTGGAAAGTAACTAATATTAGTACATATGAAAACAGTATTAATTGTAGGGTATTTGTTCTTATTGTATATTTAGATATTCTTCTGGCTGAACATGGACATTTTAGGTAGAAACTGATCACCTCCGAGGAAGAGCAGAATGGACTCTCCCTAAGCTCTTGTCAGGCCTGTTTCCAGGATTATTACAGTAACATGCTTCTAACAGTGGTTGACACGTTGTACTAGGTAAAGAACTATTAACTATATTTATGTGGATCTTAAAAAACGCAGTCTCCACCTTATTTGGAGAAGCTCACATAGAAGTTAATAAGGTTAAGCAGTGCAGAATTTTCGAGTGCCCACAATTTGATCTTATCAGCTTGTACCTGATCAGAGAGGAAAGAACACTTGTGAAGGATGTGAATGAGAGAGTGGCCAGAGCATTCAGTAATCGATGGCAGGAAGGTATATGGAACTTTCTAGAGATGTTCCACCAGCTTGGAATAGCCTATAACGATTCTAATGGCAGTGATGTACACTAGGAGGTATATATGACTTCCATTCAGTGACTAAATTAATAAAGTTATTTAATTGACCACATTTCTTTTTATGTGAACACTAAGTTTCCAGAAGTAGTCATTAACTATAAACCACAGATTCCCTCACCCTTGCCCTGGCTTCTGCTGTACTTATAAAGCTACTTAGATTATTATAATTTTAAACCATTTTCAGTTTCACATACTTCAGAAATTAACTGTCTTCATGATATACTGAAATGAAGGGGAAAATTACATTCCCAATAAAATGATGTAGGAAACTTAGAACTTTCCCCTTAATTATCTAATGTTTATTAACTTGCCACAAATGTAAACCATGTTATTCTGAACAGTACTCTATGTGGAGCAGGACATCGTGGGAAATAGCAGAGTCCAAGGAGGTAGAAGGCTCTCTGTCTTGGTCAGTTTCTGCCTCCACTAAAGCAGGACTGGAGGGGTGGAGAGCAGGCGTTAATGTGCGTGGCCCAGAGAAGTGTGGGATACTTTTCTCTCTTCTTTACTCT